ATTGGGCCTCTGTGGGTGCTTACAACCAAGCCGAGGGTTTACAGGCCAAGTTGAGATGGTAGAGGGCCAGTGAATGAACAAAAGAGTTAAATTCCAAGTGGGAGTCCAGGTCAAGGTGAGGAGGGTGAAGCTGAACATAGAGAAGCGAAAACGACCCACGGTAGGATCCTGATTTAGTGTTTGCTTGTTTGTTGGCAAAGTTTTACATCTACACACCTCATGTTCTCTTACCAATGTGGACGCTGGATCTTGTACTAACTTGTCATCTGTCATTGAATTCTCTACCAGCTGTGGTGACTTATGTGGATACAAAGAGCATTCATTGATCCTTATCCCTTTAATATTACTAGGCTTAATATATCTATCTTATTTACTGACACATTTAAGTTTTGTTTCTGTACCTGAAACAGCTCGCTTGGCACATTTCAGATCCAAAATCAAATCAATGGCAGATACAAAATTCAACCTAATAGACAGCAGCAGAATCACCTCGTGTTTTAAAAATATCTGTTCCATTGCTCTTTTAACAGCTAGGAGTCACTTTGGCATCATGATAATAAAACGAAGTATTTGATATTAGGTAGAGAGAAACTTATACCTATAGTTTGCTGCAAAAGCCAGTCACTGAAAACAAAAATCAAACTGAACTGAAATTCCCCAGAGAATTGGCTTCCTAGAGAACAACGAAAATTCGAATCATCTCATAGAATGAAATGTGAAACAGTAGGAAATAAGATTAGGAACATTAGGAAATAAACATTAGGGATAATATTAGGAAATAAGGATGAGAAAAGATGATGGATCTTCTCAGAGGAGCCTGGGGAATCCTGAACAATACCTCCCCCTCCCACTTTTAAACCAACTCAAGATGACATCCCCAAAGTTTATAGAGTCCAAAAATTCATCAGCTACTGATTCCGAGAGACGCTGAAATTTTGCTGGGATATGTCTGATCTGGCTCAGAGTCCAGTGTCCTGTCCAGTTTCCTTCCCTCTTATGGACACAAATAATATTTCCCTGAGTAATCTGAGTTCTTAGGAGAAAAATTGTATTCATCATTTGAGGAATGAATGGTGGGGAGTTAGGCCTTGTATGACATACCATCAGTACTGAGACCAAATTCGGAGATCTTCTTTAGAGTGTCTAATGCTATAGGACTTCATCATTCTGGCTTTGCAAAGAGTCTGCAAACTTTCTGCCCCGTGTTGTAAGGTGAACATTGTCCTTTCAGTCTTACTGTCTGGTTCTGTGTGTGTGTGTGTGTGTGTGTGTGTGTGTGTGTGTGTGTGTGTGTGTTGTGATTAATACACTTAGGCCAGGTGGTTCCAGTTTTCAAAACTAATTCTTCAAGATCGCATACCCCTTGGTGGTCTTTGGCTTTTCTTTGTAAAGACAGACATAAAACATCCTCTGGTACTGTAGCTTCTCTTGAGGATAAAAATTGTGCCTTAGATCTTTCTGGTAATTTATACCTAAATAGGTTCTTCCGTGGCAGGAACTTCCTCGTGAAATGACCCAGCTGGAATTTCCACTAAAGCAAAGGAGAAGGGAGTGAGGATGTGTTTGTTTCTTTCCCCCCATTCCTCCTAACCTTCCTCCTTGCCATCACCTTCCTGGACTACTCCTTTCTCACCCTTAGTCCCTAGTCTCAAATTTCACTTCATTCCAGTTGGTTGAAAAGATTACAGCATGGTGGTGACTTGGACGTCTACATTAATAGCATTTAACACCTCCTTGGCGTATATATGTAAAACCATTGAGCAGCTCTTTTTCTTTCTTTGACCAAATGCTGTATGTGGAGAAGGCATATTCCTGTTGCAAACACGACATCATAAAATTTTCATTGTTTGTGTTTGGCTGGAGGTAGTTATTTATGATACTCAAAAATGCTGCACACACTTGGACTATTTATTCTGGATCTGTTTCTGTGTCTGGTGCAGCTGAAGAATAAGCAATATGAGCCAAGTTAAAAATCGTGAAGCCAGCCACAAGTCATTGAAAAAAAAATACTATAATAAAAAACTTGGACAAAGGAATGTGGCCATGGGGTGAGGTAAAATGAGAAGAATGCAGGCAAGGCCTTCTTTAAACAACCCAGAGGTGTTCCAGCACCAACTTAGAGATCAGCACTTTCAAATGAAGGATGAGAATTCACCCATGATTTCAAATGTAGTAGAATGCCTTTTGAAAAACACAGTAATTGCACTTCTATTTACAGACTCCAAAGAATTGAAATTACAATTTCCGAGGCATTTTTGTACATGAGTAGCACTACTCACAACAGATAAGTTGTGGAATAATCCTAGGTGTCCATCAACAGATGAATGGATTAAAAAAAAAAAAGAAGGAAATCAGCCACACAGGCTGTTGGCTCACACATGCAATCCTAGCTACTCAGTGGACTGAGACATGAGGAGCAAAGTTCAAAGCCAGCTTAGGGAGGAATGTCCATGAGACTCTTCTCTCTAATAAACTACTCAGAAAAAGCTGGAAGTGGCCCTGTGGCCCAAGTGGTAGAGTGCTAGCCTTGAACAAAAGATAATGCCTAGGGACAATGCCTAGGCCTTGAACCAGCACAAAAGAAAAAAAGGAAGAAAAGAAAGGAAAGCCTTCCACAGGCTACAATGTGGTTTGACTTTGAAGACGTGACACTATGTGAAAGACAAATACCATATGATTCCACTTTATGAGGAATCAAATACATAGAAAAAAGATATCAGTGGTTCCCAGGAGGCAGGGAGAGACAATGAAGAGTTATGACATTGTTGTTTTTCATTGTTTAATATGAAAAGGGACTAGTGGAATGCATATAGTTAACAATGTTGTATTCCATACCTGAAATGCTAGAAGGGTAAATTTTTGTTCTATGATTTTTAAGCCCATTAGAAGATTGCTTTTTTATTATCAACAATGGTAAGTCCAGAAAGTTTCTAAACAAAAATAGATATGGCTCTGTTCCCCCATACTACCATAATGTCTGTCTGTCTGTCTGTCTGTCTGTCTGTCTACTTACCAACCTACCTACCTATCATCTATCTATATTGTGCTTGTCCTGGGGCTTGAACTTGGCCTGAGTACCACTGTCCTTGAGCTTTTGTTTTTGCTCAAGGTAAGCATGAGCTACTGGCACCTGACATCTATACCCCTTCCTTCCTTCCTTCCTTCCTTCCTTCCTTCCTTCCTTCCTTCCTTCCTTCCTTCCTTTCTTCCCTCCCTCCCTCCCTCCCTCCTTCCCTCCCTTCCTCCCTACCTTCTTTCTTTTTCTTTTTTTCTTTCTTTCTTTCTTTTTCTTTCTTCCTTTCTTCTTATTTTTTGGTCATGGAGCTTGAACTTGAGGCCTGGGTGCTGTCCCTGAGCTCTTTTGCACAAAGCTAGAACTCTATCACTTTGAGCCACAGCTCCACTTCTGGTATTCTGGTGGCTATTTGAAGATGAGTCTCCTGGACTTTCCTGCCCAGGGTGGCCTTAAACTTACTCTTCACATCTCAGCCTGCTGAATAGCTAGGATTAAAGGCATGAGCCACCAACACCCAGCTTGGCATTTATATCTCTTTGTTCAATCTTAGTCTTCCTATCTGTATTAAAGGCATGAGCCACCAACACCCAGCTTGGCATTTAGATCTCTTTGTTCAATCTTAGTCTTCCTATCTGTCAGCAAATAGATCCACTTAGTACAGATAGTCTGGTAGTGTTAGAGGTGTCAAATACAACAGAGAAAAGACAATAAGAACAGTGTAAAATGAAATAGGCCAACATGTTGGAACTATCTATAATGGTGTATACAAGGGTCTACTGAAATATCTTCATGTGACATAGAGGAACGTCTTGGGAGTTACGTAACAGCTCTCACAAACCAAATCCAGCTCATCTTTCTGTGCCTTTTGAAGAAAGCACTTTAAAATACCAAGGCTTGCTTTTCCAATGCCTCCATCCCATTTACTTTTCTGCTGACCTTTTACTCCTCCTTTCTTCTCTGCAGTGTGTAGTGATATGGCTGTCTTAATGCCAGAGATTTTCTAATGCCATTCATAGCTCTAAAGATTCCATTCATGTCTCACACATCAGGTGCATTTTCAAAGAACACATGATCACACCCAGCCAAACGGTGATTCTTATCCAGCGTGGAAGATTTTTTTTTTAAGATTTTACAGATATAACAATGATTTGGAAATTGTATTGAGTAATATTTGATTTCTTGTCTGAAAGCAAATTTAAATTTAATCTTCTTTCTTAGTGAGACAATAATGAAACAAACATTGAGAGTCATTGCCCTTGCTGAAAGGTAATGTTTTCTTCAGCCATAACTAAAAGTGAACTGGATTTGAGCCAAGAAAATGATCTGATTACAATAATGTGCCAGTAGACATGTTGTACTGTGATTGTGTATGAAATGTAATGGATGCAAACAGATTCTGCTTTGCTTTTCCCATCTGTGTAAAAGCTTAGAGAAAACTTGTGTCTTCCATGCTGCATTTCTCTGAACTCTGGAAAGATCCAAACCAGCTGACTGAGACAGAGCTTCCTTTGGACTTTTACACTTGCAATGTCATTGTAACAGTTCAGGGAGGGTAGTGATTAGTGTTTATCCTTCATGCTGACAATGTTCCATTCTAGCTGTTGGTTTGACAGGTTTACTGTTTTGAAGTGTGGAATCAATGGGCTAAGTCTCATTTGAATCCGGGCTAGTACTAGAGTTCAGAGCCTAGAGTACAATAATTTAAGGAAATACTTCCTACCCTTGATGTTTCTCTCCGTAGGCTCTCTCTAGTCTTGTTTCTGATTTTAACATAAGTCGAGTCCAGGTTTTAAGCTTTACTTTATTGAAGTTGATGTACACAGGTGACTTTCTCAACGTGATAGGATCACAGAATAAAGGGAATGTAGAATTTAACATGAATCTTTAACAGCTCTGCATTCACACTTGGGAACGCATTCTCTCTCTCCTTGCCTTTGCTCGACGTTGACTTCCCCAGTCTAAGTTTTTCATTTCTGTATTGTAGATCACAACAGACCTAAGGCAACGATGCACAGACAACCACACCGGGACATCTGCCTCAGCACCTATGGCTGCTGGCATCATCGCGCTGGCCTTGGAAGCCAAGTAAGCCTTGATTTCTTTATATCTTCACGGGTGACAACTCCCGAACTCCTCCTGGCCCCTTTTCCTGTATGTAGTTCCTAGCATAAAGGCCCCAGAAGCTAGACTTCCCAATGTCACCTCTAACGCATCAAACTGAGTACATGTCTGTAATCAGAACTTGGGATGTAAAGACAAGGGTATCTTGAGTTCTAGGACATCTTGACTCTGTCTCAAAAGCACAAACAGATAAATTCTCTACATTAAAAAGATAAGCCTTTGGTTTTTATATACCTAAAAAAAAATCAGGCTGTATAATTATCTTATTATGGAGTCATAGCGTGAACATGCCAGTTGGCTGCAACCGTCATGTCTTGAGATTTTTTTATTCTAGTCTAGGAACGTTCCTGTGAGTCTCCAAGACATTAGGTCAGCCCATTTCTGGTCACTTTTTATATAGTATTGTGAGGCTGCTCAGATTCCATTACAACAGCACGGTCACAAAGCAACTCTAGAGGACAAAATATTGTCAAGGTCATGTGGCAGGCGTCTAGAAACAAGGGTTACTCACTTTTCTCCAAGCCTGTTTCTGTGTCCAAGAGATCTGTTCATCTTCCACTCCAGGTCTGTCTATAATGTCTGGTGATCTAGTTGTTGTAATGCCTAGGAGATTTACTAATGACATTCATTAATCCAAGGCGTCAGTACTAACTCACCTCCCAAGTCGTATGTGCTCTCAAGAAACTCCTGATCAGCCCCAGCTCAAGGGGAATTCTTGTCCAGAGGGGAATAGTTTTTTTTTCTTCTTTCTTTTTGAAGATCTTACAGATAATATCATGGTAAGGCTTTTTGCATTTCCTCTCTTTCTAAAATAAATGGGCTCATTTGCCATTGCCATTTGAAAACGTAATACAGATCTAAATTCTCTTCTCCTCAATTTCAAAACTCAAAATACCCGGAAAATTATACACTGTTTTTCAAATGTAACATTGGATGGCAAATCTGTCTTGCACTAATTTGAGGCGATTTTCATCCTTTACTTACTCAATTTATTCTGAAAATTCCTATTTCCACTGCAGAAGTCCTCATGTATATAATTATGAGGTGCTGACTCAGACCCCACTGAAGGCCTGGTGTAATACATGTTATAAACATCATCTCTGAGAAGTATTTTGAGTTCCAAACACATCTGGCCCATGGTTTATAGAAGACGATTGGAAAGCCTGTTCTCTGAGGATCTCTCTGCAAGATCATAGCAGGAAAAAAGGACTAGAGTAATGACCTCAACATTTTTCATAAAAAAAAAAAAAATCCTACAGGCCTCACTAGGAAGGCGTGGGAAGGTTCATTCATCTAATTGCACCATGAAATAGAGCAATAATACCAGGCGACAAGGAAGGAATAGAGGGTAATGATTAAGCTAAGGTATTGCAGGAAGAACCTTGTGTATTCATTCCCAGCATACAGTGGCTTCTCAACACGTATAGTTGTTTCTATAGATCTTGAAAAAGAGCCTGTGTTCAGGCCTTGATGCAATGTGGATACGGCACATTGCTAAGTCACCAAGGGTTTGAACTAGAACAAGGAACAGAACATAGGCTCCAGATGTTGTATCGTATCTTTGTGTGGCCTCCTGACGAAGCCTCATCATTGGGAGCGATCCAAGGCCCCATGCACATTTGGATTTCTTGCTCTTTGACAAGATTCAATATGCAATCATTTAAAACATACTATATCTGTTAAGGTGTTAAAAGTTTGGGTTTAGCAAGAATCTGGCACCCTATGAAATTCTCACTTTACAACTTTTCGCTGGAGTGTTCTGGCAGCTGAAATCTCAGTTTAAGTGTCTGTGTTTTTAATTTGGTGGACTCTAAATAGAATTTTTGGAAAAGCCTATTTTCTTTCTGACATTCTACGTGGTTGTTCTGGAATATTTTCCTTCCCATGAAATAAGAAGAAAGGAAAATAAGAATCAAGAATTCCTCCACCACCTTGTCTTCACCATAAAGACTGTGATCATTTAGCATTTCCTCCATTTTTATTAGCCTATATTAGTGTACACAATATTTTCTCTGTGACCATGCATGCACTATATCCTAACTGACACCTATTTTCAATAATAGTTCTTCTACACACTCTAGATGCTGAAATAAAAATCCTTCCATTAAGCTTCCAGAAAGTCATTCAATGGTGGAGCTGAGTAACCCATCGGAAGATTGTGACAATTTTCTTTTCTTTTGTGTGTTGAGCATTTTCAAAGAAAAGATTTATTTTGGCTCAAACTTTGATGGGTAGAAGTGAACTTGTATTCCCCAAATACAGGTTATGTTCCTGGAAAATCTACTATCTTTCAGCATTTTAGCAATGAAGCTTAATCAGAGGTCTAAAATAGTCAACAATCTAATAGAATGCAGACAAATACTCCCTTCTTTGTAACACCACTGGTTTGACCTACAGGCCAATCTGCCTGCAAGTGAAGCTGAAAATTACAGGAAAAGGGTCTGTGTATTAAAGAAGTCTGTCAGGCATTGATATTAAACCAGCAGTCAAATAAGCTGTGGCTTGAGGGGAAATTATCTAAAACTAAGAAATTGTAGAGAGGACCTGAAATCACAGTGTACGAAGGTTGCAGTTTGCTAAGCCTGGCCTATTTACCCAATTCCACGCCTTGCAATCTTCACTTCTGTTTCTTCTCAATAATACTTGAACCTTGATATTTGGACATTTAGCCTTCACGGGACCAGAAGCTGAACACTCTGATCTATAAGGTACTCCTGTGGAAAGAGAGTGGAGAGAAAGCTTCAGCAGACAACATGAGGGTTGAGGACAAGCATGGCTGCCCACATCAGGGTTTACTGAGTAACTACACAGACTGAGCCTCAGGTCAGAAAACAGCACGCAGAACCGGCTAGTCCCTATTAAACTGCATGGTCCAGCTATTCCTGCACTGTGAGGAGAAATGTGTTTTTCTCTGAATGGACCAGGTTGTAGAACTCAGTTGTGCTGACATCAGGGAAACATACCAAATCCCTCCCCCACCTCAGCCTGCTTTCTTACATTCCCAAGTGCCGGCCTGCAGCAGACTTTTGCTGCGTCAATTGGAAAAGTTGTATTATGGATGTTGTTTTTACCAGTGTTCTCTCTGACATTCCTAATCCTGCTCAGGACACGAAGGGCAAAGCAAACAAATGCAAAACAGAATCAGATAAGCTCAGAATGACCAGACTGAACAACTGATCATGTGACAGCTCACAGAACTTCTATAACATCCTTTTCCTGCTGGATCTGTAAGAGCCAACACTGCAGCAACCGCTGCTGTCATATACCCCCCAGATTCTTTAGTGAAAGTATAGTCCACCTTTGTATTCATGGGCCCTCCAGTCTTCACTTTGACCAGCCACGGTTGAAAATATTGAGAGAGCAATTTCAAGTGTACCAAATATATATACACTTTCTTCTGTAGTTCTCTAAAAATGTAGAATAGCAGTACTGACAGACATACCATTTATATTAAGTATTGTAATACATCTAGAGGTGGCTTAAAGGATGCATAAGGTTTTGGTGGTGCTGGTGCTGGTGCTGGTGGCAGTTTGTGTGTGTGTGTGTGTGTGTGTGTGTGTGTGTGTGTGTGTGTGTGTGTGTAGAAGGAACTGGAACTAGTTACTTTTGCATAGCTGTGACCAAATACCTGAGAGATACAACTTAAGGGAGAAAATATTTCTTTGGGCCCATAGTTTCAGAAAGTTTAGTCCATGGTCACTCGGAGTGTGTTGCTTGAGCGACAAATCACTAGGTCAGGATATTGTGGCAACGGAGATCTGTTCACCTCATGACAGACAGGTAACAGAAAGCAGGACTAGAGTAAGGGGCCACAGCAAGACAGATGCAAAAGACCTCCTCCCCAGGACTGTATTTCTCCAACTAGTCCCTTCCTTTACATTGTTTACTCTCTCACAGTAATGAGTTCATAGTGTAAATCCAGCAAGGGATAAGCCCTTGATGAGGTTACAATTGCCTCCCCCAAACTCATTTATCCTGTAGCAACCAAGCCCCAACACACGAGGCTATGTGGAATATTTTGTATTTCTTTATAGCATGGCATGTCTTGAGCATCCGTGAGCTTTGGCATTTGTACAGGGTCTTGGAACCTTCCTTCATAGATATGAAAGGATGACTATTTTTTTTCCTTGTCCCCAAGATGGAAATGAGTCTCAGTTCCTTCCTATACCATTCAGCCCCTTATCTGCCTCTTTTTGCACAGCGGTGTGGGGGGTGGGCGGGGAGGGGGTGCCTTAAGTTCTGTAGCTCACTAACAGGTTGATCATGTATCGTTTCTCTACTAAATTAATCCATTTTCTCTGTTCCCTTATAATCATAAACAGTTTCAAAATAAAGTAACTGTCATCTTAAAAGAGAGCTGGGATGAAATACATTTTCATTGGAGTAACCTCAGCATATATTAGTTGTTCTAGTGGGTTTTTTCAAATTTTAAGTAATTAAATTTAGGTTTACATAACTTCATGGTAGTTTAATTAAGTCAATAAGGAGCATGTTACTGATGATTTCAAGGGATGTGATTGCTGTATTGGCCATAAGTGACTTCAAATGATGTCACTGTGAATAATGAAACTCACCAACTTCAAATAAAATGAATATACTAGGAAGCAAATATATACTAGGAAGCAAGTTTCTTACAGGAATAAGAAAGGAAAGACAACTATACTCATTTGGGGTAAACAGACCTGAAGTATACAAAGTCACATTGGTACAGTGTTTGTACTGACAGCCTAGTATTATACCCATAGTTCTCTAGATCTTTAGGAAAGAAGGTGAAGGCAGAAGGGAAGAAGAGGCTCCATAGCCCATCAGCTTTCACATAAAATGGTTTGTAAAGCTGAAGCAGCTGGCATTCGTAAAAGTAGAGGGTTTGGGTTTACAAATAATACACCGTTGGAAAATCTTCCTGACCTGAATTTGCACATATTAGTAAAGAAAAGTCATATTTTTTTCTTTTAAATGTTTTT